CAAGGTAAATACTAGGTTTTCTTAACAAGAAATTTTACTGCCACTGTTACTAGAAATTACTGTGACAAAATTCATGTAAAGTATGTCTGGCACTGAAAGTTGGAAGCTGAATACTGGTAGATAATACCATGTTCATTTTATGTCATCACTTTATTTACAGTTTCTTTAATTATCTCGGATTTAATTTTCTTAACAAAAATGATACTTTCTCGTAATAAAATGTTGTTTCCCAGGTTGCTCCACTGTATCTTAAACATTGATCAAAGTTTAAAGTAGATTACATGCAACTAGAATCACAACTTCGCATCATTAGCAGTCAGTAATTCACCTGGGAGGTGAGGGAAGGTAATGCACAAACAGTTGATTGAGTATCCAGCATCAAAAAATTGTAGAAACTTTTGACAACGAATCGAGGAACTGTTGAACAAGAAAATTCTAAGGATATCCATTAGTTGGTGTTCTACTTATGGCTGATCTGCCCTTTTCCATGTTTAATATTTTTATTCTTAGCCCACCTTATTTTTTAGAACTTCTAAAGTAATGAAAATGAAAAATGAAATTAACACAAGTGGTTTTGAAAAATCATGTATGTTATTAAAAAGAAAAAATTCAAAGAAATTGAAACCTTGAAAAATGGGCTGACAATATTTTGAAATGTAATAGTGGTTGAAGGGTATAAATCTGTCTCCCTTTCCTATTCTAATACTGTCTACCAAAGAGGGAGTCTCAAAATTTCCTTTTTTCCTCAAGTAGACACAAACAGCACAATGAGTCTCTACTGCAGGAGGAAACTTCCATCATCTGTTTCACAAGTGAAAGCTGTAAAGCCACAGAGTTATTTCCAGAGAAATGCTTCTCACTTTTTTCCAAAACTTTGCTTAACAGAATGTTTCCATTGGAATTGTTGGCAAAGACATGGAGTTTACCATCTATGATGATGACGATGTAGCACCATTCCTAGAAGGTCTTGAGGAGAGACCACAGAGAAAGGTGTGTGGTTTGGATATAAATCAACAGGCTTTGTTGAAAGATGACATTTTGTGATATATGACCTATCACATTTATGTTTATGACATTTAACACTCTACTACTCTAGTAGATTTTTAGGAATGCGATTTTTTAGGATTTTAAGTTACTATATGGAAACCGTATAGTCTTAGCTGAAGACTAAGATGCTTATTAAATCAATTAATGCTGAATTGGTGCCAGGCTGTTCTAGTGTCATCTTCTTTCCTCATCTTTGAGTACTGGTTTTCACTTTTTTTGCAAGAACAGTGGCTACATATGTTTCTCATCCCTGTCACAAGGTGTATCCTTAGTCTGCTAACAACTCTGTCCTGTTCCATGCTTAATTTGGATAACACTGTTTTGTAAGCTACTTGCTGACATGAGCTGTGTTAACCACTCATGATGATCAATCCAGGATAAAGCCTATTTGTCAAATGGTTTTTTCTGCCCTCCTATAACATATATTTTTCCTCTCTTTAAGCCTGCTCCGCCTGTTGATGAACCTGCAGAAAAGGCAGAGGAGCCAATGGAGCACTAGTTGGTGGATGAGTTCCTCTGTGTTAACGTATGTCTAATTATATGGGAACGTTTATCCATGTGCTGGTAACTTTATCCTCACCTATATGCATTTTCTGCTGATACAGTCTGAGGATTACTCAAAGAAAAGAAAAAAAAAAAAAAAGAAACCAACCCACTTATCCTTAAAAAGTAGACAGGAGGTCATAGTCGGTTGTATTTTCTTTGGCAAGAAAGGTGTAATCATTTTCTAAATAGTACATGATACTGTTTTTTTAAGGAAAAACATACTGTGTTTAACTTGTAAGGCCAAGTGGAAATAAATCACTTTCTTGGAATCTGCTGTGGGTTTGGTTGGTTTTTTTTAATCTGAAGAAACAACGATTCAAATACTTCTGTTGTATCAAGATGCCGCCATGTATCAGACCATTTGTCAGTGTGAGCATTTACTTACTTTATACAAATGTGGTGCTCTTGGAAACCGTTGAACTGAGAGGACTTTAAAATGCCTACAAATCTACAGAAATAGTTGTGGACCAAATAGGATGCAGTGTGTTTCCCCACGTTGTCTTGTCACTGTCTCAAACTCGGCCTGAAAAGACTTTCCTGGTTATGAATGTTCACCAGAAACATTGTCGGCTGAATAAGGAGGAAGCTGCCCACCAGCTTGTGTTTTGTTTTTTTGAGTTCTCTGCTTCAGTAAACCCTAGCTCACTTGGAACTGAATTGTATCACTATTTCTTTACAGCCATCAGCCAGATGGGGGGTAGTGACGGGCTTTTTAGCTCACTAACGGCCTACATTGAAGCACATAAAATTCCCATGACAGGTCCCCTGAGCTGTGGAGCCTCTGCATTGCCTCAGAATAAACCGCCTCAGCGGGGTTTTGTCCCTTCCGCTTGCCCTGCATGCTCTGACCGAGGGGTGCCTAGCGCTCATTTGGATTCAAGAGGAATGACACAAAATTTGGGACGAACAGCAACTTCTTTAGGGAAGTATGGGAGGGAAGCCCAGTCAGTCAGTGCAAAATGGGTGTGATGCTTAAAACACAGCGTTAATTTTTTTTGTTTTCCATGTTGGATTGTTCTCTTGTAATTGTTCTCACTGATTAATCCACTGAAAAGGATAAGAAACAAGGTTTTGGGGTGAACTTGCGTAGGGGCTTGATATCCTGCTCAATGTACTTAAAAAAAAAAAAAAAAAAAAAAAAAAAAAAAAAGACTAAAACTTGCATCTTTCATTAATAAAGCATGGTGCTGTTTTGAACAGGCTTTAAATCCTGTGTTGAATCCATTTAAATAGTTCAGTCATGAAAATGTTAACAAAATAATAATAATAATGTCAGGGCTGTGTATTTGATTTTAAGTGCTAGAAAAAAACTGCTTTTAATTTTGTTTTTCTATTAATATTTTTTATATTTATTTTATCTGTTATTATTTATATCTTACATTATTTTCCCTGTTTAGAAAACTCTTTTCACACTTGTTTATAAAACTTTTTCAATGCTTGTTGTTATAAAACTTTTCCCCCCTTGTTTCATTTTATATAAAACTTTTTTCCCCCCTTGTTTTGTTTTATATAAAACTTTTTCCCCCCTTGTTTCGTTTTATATAAAACT